AAAGAAAAGAAAAAAAACAGTATTTTCTTTAATTTCCAGACTCCTTCTATTGAGTGGCTTCTTCTAGAATTACCTCAATACTTCTAAATGATATGTTTTCGCTGTTAAATCTTGCAACTCCTTTTTACATTTTAATCACTTCTTGCTATGGATTTTTAAAAATGATTTAACTTTCTTTCCAACTAATGTAAACCAATATAAGCACTGCACATTCCCTTTCTCCTATTCTCCCAATAAAATTGTTACAGTTGTTGTTGTTGTTGTTGTTGTTGTTGTTGGCAGAGTCTTACTCTGTAGCCCAGATTGGAGTACAGTGGTGTGATCTCACCTCACTGTAACCTCTGCCTCCCGGGTTCAAGTGGTTCTCCTGCCTCAGCCTCCTGAGTAGCTGGGATTACAGGCACCCACCACCACACCTGGCTAAGTTTTGTAGTTTTAGTAGAGATGGGGTTTCACCATGTTGGTCAGGCTCGTCTTGAACTCCTGACCCCAGGTGATCCACCCACCTCAGCCTCCCAAAGTGTTGAGATTACAGGTGTGAGCCACCGTGCCCAGCCTACAGTTTTTTTTTAAGTTAAACTAATAGTGTTCATATTGCTAAGGTTTCTTCAAAATATACATTAGTGTAGTGTGATTAAATTTCCTTTCTCGAGAAACATTTTTCCTAGAACTGAAAATTGTTTTGTACTTACCTAATTTTCCATTTACTAATATTAGTTTCTTTACATTCTCTAATTTGAATCTCTTTCTTCTCAAAATATTCAAATGTATCAGATACCCATCAATTATTTTTATTTCTTGGTGATCTTTCACCCAGATCTCTACTTCATTCATTTCTTGTGTTTCTTGTGAGTATCTTCAATGAAGGAATTTTACTTTAGGGGCATTTTTTGGAACCGCTAAGTCAATTGCTCTTCCACCTGCTTTGCTTTCTGTATTAGAAAAATATGTGTGTTCACTTGTGTATTCTTAATCTTCATTAGTTCCCATTTTAATTACTTTTCTGTCATTTCAGTGTGTATTTTTTTAAAAAAAGAGAGGTTAATTGTGTATGGTCAATCCATCACTTTTCAACTTTTACCTTTCTGTACCAATTACTATAGGCTCTATAGGCTGTCACCCTAGGACTTTAAAAAGTATTTTTCTTTATTGGTCTTCTTTTATAAGATCCAGTATATTCTTCTTTCTTAGTTTACTCTCTTATTTTGTTGATGCACATCTCTCAGTACCTTCATAAAAATGGATACAGAGGAAGTAAAACTTTTTGAGAGCTTATTTTGTTATTTTCTTTTTTAATTTGATTGATAGTTTGGGCATAACATTCTAGGTTGAAAATAATTTTCCCTCAGATTTCAAAAACACTGCTCCTTTTATTGACTGCATATAGAATTGCTGTTCAGAAGACTGATTCCATTCTGATTCCTATGTCTTTTTATGTGATTCCCCTCACCCTTTTTTTCTTTCTTTCTGGGAGCATTTAAAAAATTCCCCTGGTCTTCTGAAAATACCTTAGTACTGGCTCTTTATTGATTAATCTGGTCATATGGCTATGCCTTGTTCATGTTTATCTTTTTTCTTTTTCTTCTTTTTCTTTTATCTTTTATCTTTTTTTCTTTTTTAACACAGCCTGGTAACTGTGTTACCCAGGCTGGAGTGCAGTGGCTATTCATAGGCACAATCATAGCACCCTGCAGCCTCTAACTCAAGAGCTACTCCTGCCTCAGCCTTCCAAGTAGCTGTGACTACAGGCATATGCTAGACCCCTTGGCTGACGTTCAGACTATCAATTTTATTTCTGAGAAATTTTGGTTGGGCATGGTGACTCACACCTGCAATCCCAGTACTTTGAGAGGCTAAGGCAGGAGGACTATTTCAGGCCCCCAGTTTGAGACCACCCTGAGCAACATAGAGAGAATCTATCTCTATACAAAAACAATTTTTAAGAGGAATTTTCCTGGTATGTTTTACTCATAATTTCTCCCCTGAGCTTTCTGGATTCTCACTTCAACAAAAATCTCAGTTAAATATTAGACTTCCTAGATTTACTCTATGAAACTCTAAGCCTTTTTTCCTTTCTTATTTTTTCTTTACCTCTCATTCCATTTTTTGGACAATTTATTTAATCACTCCATCTTTCATATTTAAGGTTTTCTTTATGACTGACAAATACTTTTAAGAGTTGCTTTTGGTTCTCTGAATGTTTTTCATGGTATCCTGTCATAGATTTATAAATGTAATATTTTCTCTCATTTATAATTAATCTTTTCTTTAAAAATGCATTATGTAGTATTGTTATTATTATCCATTTTAAAAGTGAAAGTGAGTCTAAGGGGAGTTGAGAACTTGTCCAAGGTAATATAGCTAGTGAGGAGCACTTAAGTCATAATCTAGTCTTCATCTTACAATAGGAATACATACTTCACACAGTTACTATTTAGATTAAATGGATAAATGCATTATGAGACATTTAGAACAATGGGTAGCATAGAGTAAATACTAAATAAGTATTAGCTTTTATTAGATTTTCTTTCTCTGGGAATATTAATCAGACATTTTGAAAGGCTGTCTTCTGTTTTCTAAATTAATGTTCGTTCTTTTTTCTTGGTGGTAGTGATGGTGGTAGTTTTGGTCTTTCTATGTCATGTTACAGGCATCTCCTCAAATGCCTTGGCTATCTTCTCATATTTTAGAAGGATGATAATATCAAAATGTTGACAATCAACTCTGTGAGCAAACAGTACCTGTTGATGACAGGGCTTCATTCTAATATAACCATGCTAGGATAAGGCAATTACCTTATGAGACACCAAATATTAATATGTGTCTTTACTTGGGGCTTTCATATTCTCCAGGTTAGAATTCTACAATATTCACTGTGTGGGGATGAACTAGGGGTCAGGCATATACCTTGTGTCCTACAGTCTAAGAGTATTGCATGAAAAAGGACTAGAAGTCTAACCATGCAAAATGCAAAGGTTTGCTTGCTCTCCCTATTTTCAATTTGACACCTCACAATTGTGCTCAGGCTGTGCCTAGATCCCCAAGACTAGAGAAAGTTCCATTAAATTTGTCCAGAGAATAAACTTTCTATTTTCTGGTTGTGAGTTACATTTCTGTCTATGTAGGGTGATGAGAAGAATAGAGAATTCAATTATCCTCTACACACACTTCCAACTGATAACTTTTTTCCATCCTTAACTGACTTCAGTCTTCTTAAATATCTGATTCCTCCAAATCTTGGCTTAAATGAGATTGTGTTTCTTGTGAGTATCTTCAATGAAGGAATTTTACTTTAGGGGCAATTTTTGGAACTGCTAAGTCAATTGCTCTTCCACCTGCTTTGCTTTCTGTATTAGAAAAATATGTGTGTTCACTTGTGTATTCTTGATCTTCATTAGTTCCCATTTTAATTACTTTTCTGTCATTTCAGTGTGTATTTTTTTTAAAAAAGAGAGGTTAATTGTGTATGGTCAATCCATCACTTTTCAACTTCTACCTTTCTGTACCAATTACTATTTAAATCATGTATCCAGCTTACATTTTTAAGAATATTAATTGAATTTAACATTTTAAAATCCAGACTTATTGGATTCTTCTTCCATCCATTCTTAGCGCACGTTAAGACTTTCTATAGTGAACATCACTGATGAGCCCTTAGCATCTATTCCAAACAATCTCCCTCATTATGTACCAATGATTTACTTTGGCTAGGACTGAAACCATCCCAAGCTTAAGAGGTGGTCCCAGACAGGATTAAAACAAAGTAATGGCCAGAGATGGGTCTTTAGATTCTAGGGCTAAAATCTCCAAGTATGATTCTATACCTCTTGAAACAATGATTGCTTCAGTCACAGGCACATGATCTTACTTGGTCTAATCAGAGTGAAAGTTAGGTTTTTGTCCTATGTTTAGGGATAGACTCTTACTTTCTCTTCCTGGGCTGAAAGAGAAAACAGATAGCTACAGTTGTGACTGCAATAAATTTTGGGAACCTGGGGCAAGCCAGCTTTAGGAATTAGAGTCTACTTTAAATGAAACTAACTTGCTCGTGCTTGTGTACTTATCAATTTTTTGTAAATTATGAAAAACTGAAACTAAATGATAGGTTTAAATAATATGTTCCACCCCAATCTCTTGCTTCATTTTCTACCTGTTCACAATTCATTGCTATTAAGGAAATCTATGGAAATGCCTTTTTATGCTGTCATAATGACCTAAATTTGCCTCATCACATGGTTAATGCAGTTTCATAACTTCAGAAAGGACTTTTGAGATCACCTTCCCTTTCCCTTACCATGTAAGGAAAGCCAAGTAGTAATAGAGTTTCATTCAGCTCAACAATTAGTTATACCCTGCTTGTTTCAGGCTTACAATTGTCTCAGAAATACTACGAATTCCTGGGGACCAGGGATCACATCTTGTATCTGTATTCACCACAATCGAGCACATTTGGTTGTGAGGAGAGTGGGGAAAGACACTGAATAAATGCTTTAAAACAAATACAAACATCATCACAAACTATAAAGAATATAAAATGATTATTAAGGAAGATATAATATATTTTTAATTACTTAAACAGAAGGAATTATTTAAATGCAATATTTGCTTCTGGAGGACATTTACGTAAATAAAATTTAGGTAGTGTTCATCAAACTGTGAAAATCTGTGGAGTCGCGTGGTGGCGCTGCAGGATAATACCAAGAAAAAAAATTACCCTGGAGGATGTTGTAGACGCTGTTATCCAGTACACGGAGAGAACTGGGAAGACAGAAAGAACAATCCTTTAAGGGACAACCTAGAAGCCATTCAACAAGGTTAAAATCTTTAGGCTTCCGATGATTTGGTAGACAGATCAGAGGCACGTTTCCCACAACTGCGAAGTGGTGCTGAGGCAATTCTGCAAGATTTTGGAGTTTTGGAAAAGAAGCTATGGAAAACGGAGGGGCAGGCATTCTGCAGATAAGGCAAGTCCTGCTTTTCTTTGTTTTGCTGGGAATGTCTCAGGCGGTCTCTGAAACTGGGAGTTTTTTGGTGATGGAGGAATTGCAGAGTGGGAGCTTTGTAGGAAATTTGGCAAAGACCCTGGGACTGGAGGTGAGTGAGCTGTCTTCACGGGGGGCTCAGGTGGTTTCTAATGATAACAAAGAGTGTTTGCAGCTGGACACAAACACTGGGGATTTGCTCCTGAGCGAAATGCTAGACAGGGAGGAGCTCTGTGGCTCCAATGAGCCTTGTGTGCTGTATTTCCAAGTGTTAATGAAAAACCCCACGGAGTTTTTACAAATTGAACTCCAGGTCAGGGATATAAATGATCACTCTCCCATCTTCTTGGAGAAAGAAATGCTCTTAGAAATCCCAGAGAACAGTCCTCTTGGTACTGTGTTCTTGCTTGAAAGTGCGAAGGATTTAGATGTAGGAGTCAATGCTGTAAAAAGCTACACAATAAATCCGAACTCTTATTTCCACATTAAAATAAGAGTCAATCCAGATAATAGGAAATACCCTGAGTTAGTTCTGGACAAGGCACTGGATTATGAAGAGTGCCCGGAGCTCAGTTTCATCCTCACTGCTCTGGATGGCGGGTCCCCTCCCAGGTCCGGAACTGCCTTAGTCAGGGTGGTGGTTGTAGATATTAATGACAACTTCCCTGAGTTTGAGCAGGCTTTTTATGAGGTGAAGATTCCGGAGAATAGCACCCTTGGCTCGCTGGTTGTGACAGTCTTGGCTTGGGATTTAGACTCTGGAACAAACAGTGAACTATCCTATACCTTTTCCCATGCCTCAGAAGATATTCGCAAGACGTTTGAAATTAATCAAAAGTCTGGAGACATTACTTTAACAGCACCTTTGGATTTTGAAACGATTGAATCATACTCAATAATCATTCAAGCCACAGATAGGGGAGGACTTTTTGGAAAATCTACAGTCAGAATTCAGGTGATGGATGTAAATGACAATGCTCCTGAAATCACTGTGTCATCAATTACCAGTCCAATCCCAGAAAGCACACCAAAGACCGTGGTTATGGTTTTCAGGATACGAGACAGAGACTCTGGGGACAATGGAAAGGTAGTTTGTTCTGTCCCGGAAGACCTCCCATTCGTGCTAAAATCTTCCGTAAATAATTACTACACTTTGGAAACAGAGAGACCACTGGACAGAGAGAGCACAGCCGAGTACAACATTACCATCACCGTCACCGACTTGGGGACACCCAGGCTGAAAACCGAGTACAACATAACCGTGCTGGTCTCCGACGTCAATGACAACGCCCCCGCCTTCACCCAAACCTCCTACACCCTGTTCGTCCGCGAGAACAACAGCCCCGCCCTGCACATCGGCAGCGTCAGCGCCACAGATAGAGACTTGGGCACCAATGCCCAGGTCATCTACTCGCTGCTGCTGCCCCAGGACCCGCACCTGCCCCACGCCTCCCTGGTCTCCATCAACACAGACAATGGCCACCTGTTTGCCCTCAGGTCGCTGGACTACGAGGCCCTGCAGGCGTTCGAGTTCCGCGTGGGCGCCACAGACCGCGGCTCCCCGGCGCTGAGCAGCGAGGCGCTGGTGCGCGTGCTGGTGCTGGACGCCAACGACAACTCGCCCTTCGTGCTGTACCCGCTGCAGAACGGCTCTGCGCCATGTACCGAGCTGGTGCCCCGGGCGGCCGAGCCCGGCTACCTGGTGACCAAGGTGGTGGCAGTGGACGGCGACTCGGGCCAGAACGCCTGGCTGTCGTACCAGCTGCTCAAGGCCACGGAGCCCGGGCTGTTCGGCGTGTGGGCTCACAATGGCGAGGTGCGCACCGCCAGGCTGCTGAGCGAGCGCGACGCGACCAAGCACAGGCTGGTGGTGCTAGTCAAGGACAATGGCGAGCCTCCGCGCTCGGCCACCACCACGCTGCACTTGCTCCTGGTGGACGGCTTCTCCCAGCCCTACCTGCCTCTCCCAGAGGCGGCCCCGGCCCAGGCCCAGGCCGACTCGCTCACCATCTACCTGGTAGTGGCGTTGGCCTCGGTGTCGTCGCTTTTCCTCTTGTCGGTGCTCCTGTTCGTGGCGGTGCGGCTGTGCAGGAGGAGCAGGGCGGCCTCGGTGGGTCGCTGCTCGGTGCCCGAGGGCCCCTTTCGAGGACATCTGGTGGACGTGAGCGGCACCGGGATCCTGTCCCAGAGCTACCAGTATGAGGTGTGTGTGACTGGAGGCTCCGGGACAAATGAGTTCAAATTTCTGAAACCAATTATCCCCAACTTCCTACTCCACAGCACACGTAGGGAAGTTGAAGAAAACCCCCCATTTCAGAATAATTTGGTTTTCTGATAAAGAATGAAAAATAAATCCTGTGTTTATGAATACATTTATAATTAGGAATTTATTGTGAGGTGCCCGTAAAGTAGTATTTTTGGTCACTTCAAATATGTACTCTTTAAGTCAAGAAATTTCTTTATATAGGAAAGGATCCAGATTTAGTATCAAGAACCCTTCACAAAGCATGAAATGTATATGTGTAATGTTTTATGTCAAACAATTATGCTAAATATAAAGTCTATTAAATGGTAAGTCTTGTTTGAGATATTTTAAATTGCTTTCCATTGTTTTCAATATTTACCATGACTTTCATTTTCTGAGTTGATTAGAATGCTGTTGGAAGCATAGATTGTTTCAGAAGCATAGATTGTAATGTACCTTTTTAGACCTTATTTTTTTAAAACACTCGTTTTATGGATCATACACTATTTTCACACTTTTAATCTCAGAAGAAACATATGTGGCATGGTATTTTAGGAATGACCAAATAGATGGTCTCAGAGACTCAGTAAGATCACCAAGGTCCACTAACTAATAAGTGACAAAACTGAGCATCCATCCTCGATCTGTCTGACTCTGAGTCAGTGGCTTTGCTCCAATTCCATACTGTTTTCTGTCATTAGATATCACCTGGCAAGTTTCTGCCTAACTAAAGAGAAGAAATGTTTTTATCACATTCATACTACTGTTCAATCTTTATTTAGAAATCATCTTTATCTATGATTTCATTTTCTCATAAACCAATAATCTTGCTTTTCTGGGTAAATTTTCAGCTATTATTACTAATGCTGTGATCTGTCTAAATCTCAAGTAAAAAACAAAATTGAAAGAGCAACCTGTGCCTTCTCGTTGTGTCCTGAACATATAACTTCCATTTCACAGAAAAGATTAATGGTCCTGATTAGGAATAGTACATAATTTTGATTGCATTATTAGTTAATTATTTTCTTCACATTGTTGTATATTTTCAGAGTCACCCATACTTACATTTGTAATACATTTTCCTGATTTGAGAATTTGTTTTTAACAGTTTTCTATTACCTGTACGGCACTGCTGAATCAGGAAAACTTAAGAAAAAGAATAGTTTTAAATGTGTAATATCAAAGAGAAATGTAGATGATCATTAAGTTTTTAGAAATTCTAGGGAGTTAAGGAGAAGCATTATTTGTTTAAAAATATGTAACTGATTCTTATTTTTAGAATAGGTAATTTTGGCATAGTTGTGTTCTGAATATATTATAAACTAGTGCTGGTAACTCTAAGAAAGCTAGTATTACTGCATATCACTGGTGGGATAGAACCTAAGGACAAAAAACTCACAGTAGTAAAATCTTAAATTGCTTTCATGATCTCAGGGTAAAATTATCCAATTTCTCTGACAAATAAATGGCATTAGAAATAAGAGGAGTGAAGTTTACACAAAGAAAAATCTCAAGAGGTCTAGCAATCAAATACAATGTGTGGATCTTGTTTGGATCTTGATTGAAACAACAGCAATGACTTTGAAAAACTTGGAAAAGTTTGAATATAGATGGGTATTAAATAATATTAACTTAATTTTTAGGTATGATAATGGCATTGTACTTAAGGGTATTTTTAGAGTCATTTAAAGTCATGATGCATTTAAAGAAATATATAATGACGTATTTGTGGGTGAAAATTCAGTTTGTCTGGGATGTGAAAATGTTGAAGGGATAGAGTCAAGAATTATGGGAAAACATTGATAATTGTTGAAGCTAGTACTGAGTCCTTGGAGGTTCATTACACTCCTCTCTTCTATGAGATTTGAAAAATTTCAAAATAATTTCTTTTAATTGATGCTGTTGGAAGTGCAGGTAACAAAAAAGGACATCCTTCCAGAAACAAAATCACCACTGCTGTTACACATATTGTCTCTGTTTAGACAAACTCTCCAGCTTTTCCTTGTTCATTTCCCTTCATTATTGGACATAACTTCTCTACCTGAGATAGTCATGCTCCTGTATTCTTCTACCATTTGAATTTTGAGGTGTTTTTCTAGTTATAGTAATGGATTTATGCTAGACTTATGATGGATTTATGCCACCAAGATTCAGCTACTTGATGGCATCAAATTGCTTTATACTTGGTATATAGTTTATTTTTAAGGTTAATCTCTCTTTGCATCAGATTCCTCATGTGTAAGATGGGGAATTCACAACAGCCCTATGTGGTAGGTGCTATTATTATCCTCATTTCACAGACGAGCAAACTAAAGCAGAGAGGTTAAATAATTTGTTCGAGGTTCACAGCTACTAATTATTCCTATGGCTTATGGAAATAAAAGTGTAAACATCTAAAAGTTAACTACGTTAACTACAATTATATTTGAAATTTTCTGCATATATTCTTTTTGCCAAGCTAGACTGTTACCTAAATATTTCCTTTTTGCCCAAAACTCAGTTAGCATTGTTGAAAGACTAATGTAATTTCTCCTTCGGGCAGTTCTCTGCTCAGTAGGGTCCGGCGATATTAACGGTGGTGGTGTAACCTTACGTAGTCCCAGGGTACATACAGGCAGAGTTGGGAATATTACATCTATTATCATCTCACAAAATGTAACATTCTGTAAGGACGCGTGGTGGCGCTGCAGGATAAGAAGGTACAAACCAGAACCGCAGCTGCAGCTCCATTAACCAGCAAAAAGCAGCAGAACCTGGAAGCCCACGGGAAGCTTGGATGCCAAAGAGAGGACGGCTAGGTCCTCTGGAGAGGACTATTCTCTGCAATATTTCTGAGGTATCTGTGGAATAACCACAGCCTCTGATACTGGGGACTTTACAGTCCCACAGAACCGTCCTCCCAGGAAGCTGAACCCACCAAGAACAATGGAGGCCAGCGGGAAGCTCATTTGCAGACAAAGGCAAGTCCTTTTTCACTTTCTCCTTTTGGGCTTCTCTCTGGCGGGCGCGGCGGAACCTAGACGCTATTCTGTGGTGGAGGAAACAGAGGGCAGCTCCTTTGTCACCAATTTAGCAAAGGACTTGGGTCTGGAGCAGAGGGAATTCTCCAGGCGGGGGGTTAGGGTTGTTTCCAGAGGGAACAAACTACATTTGCAGCTCAATCAGGAGACCGGGGATTTATTGCTCAATGAGAAATTGGACCGTGAGGATCTGTGTGGTCACACAGAGCCCTGTGCGCTACATTTCCAAGTGTTGCTAGAGAGTCCCTTCGAGTTTTTTCAAGCTGAACTACAGGTAATAGACATAAACGACCACTCTCCAGTATTTCTGGACAAAGAAATGTTGGTGAAAGTGTCAGAGAGCAGTCCTCCTGGGACTACGTTTCCTCTGAAGAATGCTGAAGACTTAGATGTAGGCCAAAACAATATTGAGAACTATATCATCAGCCCCAACTCCTATTTTCGGGTCCTCACCCGCAAACGCAGTGATGGCAGGAAATATCCAGAGCTGGTGCTGGACAAAGCGCTGGACCGAGAGGC